CCTTACCTTAGTGGGCAGTGATGTAGCTCTTTTCTTGGCTGGCACTGATGTAGCTCTTACCTTACTGGGTACTGATGTAACCCTTACCTTAGTGGGTACTGATGTAGCCCTTACCTTAGTGGGCACTGATGTAGCCCTTACCTTAGTGGGCACTAATGTAGCCTTTACCTAAGTGGGCACTGATGTAGCCTTTACCTTAGTGGGCAGTGATGTAGCCCTTACCTTAGTGGGCAGTGATGTAGCTCTTTTCTTGGCTGGCACTGATGTAGCTCTTACCTTACTGGGTACTGATGTAACCCTTACCTTAGTGGGTACTGATGTAGCCCTTACCTTAGTGGGCACTGATGTAGCCCTTACCTTAGTGGGCACTGATGTAGACCTTACCTTAGTAGGCACTGATGTAGCCCTTACCTTAGTGGGCACTGATGTAGCCCTTACCTTCGTGGGGATGTAGCCCTTAACTTAGCAGGCACTGATGTAGCCCTTACCTTAGCGGGAACTGATGTAGCCCTTACCTTAGTAGGCACTGATGTAGCCCTTACCTTAACGGGAACTGATGTATCCCTTACCTTAGTGGGCACTGATGTAGCCCTTACCTTAGCGGGTACTGATGTATCCCTTACATTAGCGGGTACTGATATAGCTCTTACATTAGCGGGTATTGATGTAGCTCTTACATTAGCGGGTACTGATGTATCCTTACATTAGCGGGTACTGATGTATCCCTTACATTAGCGGGTACTGATGTAGCCCTTACATTAGCGGGTACTGATGTAGCTCTTACATTAGCGGGTACTGATGTAGCTCTTACATTAGCGGGTACTGATGTAGCCCTTACATTAGCGGGTACTGATGTATCCCTTACATTAGCGGGTACTGATGTAGCTCTTGCATTAGCGGGTACTGATGTAGCCCTTACATTGGCAGGTACTGATGTAGCCCTTACATTAGCGGGTACTGATGTAGCTCTTACATTAGCGGGTACTGATGTAGCCCTTACATTAACGGGTACTGATGTATCCCTTACATTAGCGGGTACTGATGTAGCCCTTACATTAGCTGGTACTGATGTAGCTCTTACATTAGCGGGTACTGATGTAGCCCTTACATTAACGGGTACTGATGTATCTCTTACATTAGCGGGTACTGATGTAGCCCTTACATTAGCGGGTACTGATGTAGCTCTTACATTAGCGGGTACTGATATAGCTCTTACATTAGCGGGTACTGATGTATCCCTTACATTAGCGGGTACTGATGTAGCCCTTACATTAGCGGGTACTGATGTAGCCCTTACATTAGCGGGTACTGATATAGCCTTACATTAGCGGGTACTGATGTAGCCTTACATTAGCGGGTACTGATTAGCCTTACATTAGCGGGTACTGATGTATCCCTTACATTAGCGGGTACTGATGTAGCTCCTACATTAGCGGGTACTGATGTAGCCCTTACATTAGCGGATACTGATGTAGCTCTTACATTAGCGGGTACTGATGTAGCCCTTACATTAGCGGGTACTGATGTAGCCCTTACATTAGCGGGTACTGATGTAGCTCTTACATTAGCGGGTACTGATGTAGCCCTTACATTGGCGGGTACTGATGTAGCCCTTACATTAGCGGGTACTGATGTAGCCCTTACATTAGCGGGTACTGATGTAGCCCTTACATTACGGGTACTGATGTAGCCTTACATTAGCGGGTACTGATATAGCCCTTACATTAGCGGGTACTGATGTAGCTCTTACATTAGCGGGTACTGATGTAGCCCTTACATTAACGGGTACTGATGTATCCCTTACATTAGCGGGTACTGATGTAGCCCTTACATTAGCGGGTACTGATGTAGCTCTTACATTAGCGGGTACTGATGTAGCCCTTACATTAACGGGTACTGATGTATCCCTTACATTAGCGGGTACTGATGTAGCCCTAACATTAGCGGGTACTGATGTATCCCTTACATTACCGGGTACTGATGTAGCCCTTACATTAGCGGGTACTGATGTAGCCCTTACATTAGCGGGTACTGATGTAGCCCTTACATTAGCGGGTACTGATGTATCCCTTACATTAGCGGGTACTGATGTAGCCCTTACATTAGCGGGTACTGATGTATCCCTTACATTAGCGGGTACTGATGTAGCCCTTACATTAGCGGGTACTGATGTAGCCCATTAGCATTAATAGCGGGTACTGATGTAGCCCTTACATTAGCGGGTACTGATGTATCCCTTACATTAGCGGGTACTGATGTAGCCCTTACATTAGCGGGTACTGATGTAGCCCTTACATTATTGGGTACTGATGTAGCCCTTACATTAGCGGGTACTGATGTAGCCCTCACATTAGCGGGTACTGATGTAGCCCTTACATTAGCGGGTACTGATGTAGCTCTTACATTAGCGGGTACTGATGTAGCCCTTACATAAACGGGTACTGATGTAGCCCTTACATTAGCGGGTACTGATGTAGCCCTTACATTAGCGGGTACTGATGTAGCTCTTACATTAGCGGGTACTGATGTAGCCCTTACATTAGCGGGTACTGATATAGCTCTTACATTAGCGGGTACTGATGTAGCCCTTACATTAGCGGGTACTGATGTAGCCCTTACATTAGCGGGTACTGATGTAGCCCTTACATTAGCGGGTACTGATGTAGCCCTTACATTAGCGGGTACTGATGTAGCCCTTACATTAGCGGGTACTGATGTATCCCTTACATTAGCGAGTACTGATGTAGCCCTTACATTAGCGGGTACTGATGTAGCCCTTACATTAGCGGGTACTGATGTAGCCCTTACATTAGCGGGTACTGGTGTAGCCCTTACATTAGCGGGTACTGATGTAGCTCTTACATTAGCGGGTACTGATGTAGCCCTTACATTAGCGGGTACTGATGTAGCCCCTACATTAGCGGGTACTGATGTAGCCCTTACATTAGCGGGTACTGATGTAGCCCCTACATTAGCGGGTACTGATGTATCCCTTACATTAGCGGGTACTGATGTAACCCTTACATTAGCGGGTACTGATGTATCCCTTACATTAACGGGTACTGATGTATCCCTTACATTAACGGGTACTGATGTAGCCCTTACATTAACGGGTACTGATGTAGCCCTAACATTAGCGGGTACTGATGTATCCCTTACATTAACGGGTACTGATGTAGCCCTAACATTAGCGGGTACTGATGTAGCCCTTACATTAACGGGTACTGATGTAGCCCTAACATTAGCGGGTACTGATGTATCCCTTACATTAACGGGTACTGATGTAGCCCTAACATTAGCGGGTACTGATGTATCCCTTACATTAACGGGTACTGATGTAGCCCTAACATTAGCGGGTACTGATGTAGCTCTTACATTAGCGGGTACTGATGTAGCCCTTACATTAGCGGGTACTGATGTAGCCCTAACATTAGCGGGTACTGATGTAGCCCTTACATTAGCGGGTACTGATGTATCCCTTACATTAGCGGGTACTGATGTAGCCCTAACATTAGCGGGTACTGATGTATCCCTTACATTAGCGGGTACTGATGTAGCCCTAACATTAGCGGGTACTGATGTATCCCTTACATTAGCGGGTACTGATGTATCCCTTACATTAGCGGGTACTGATGTAGCCCTTACATTAGCGGGTACTGATGTAGCCCTAACATTAGCGGGTACTGATGTATCCCTTACATTAGCGGGTACTGATGTATCCCTTAACATTAGCGGGTACTGATGTAGCCCTAACATTAGCGGGTACTGATGTAGCCCTTACATTAGCGGGTACTGATGTATCCCTTACATTAGCGGGTACTGATGTATCCCTTACATTAGCGGGTACTGATGTATCCCTTACATTAGCGGGTACTGATGTAGCCCTAACATTAGCGGGTACTGATGTAGCCCTAACATTAGCGGGTACTGATGTAGCCCTTACATTAGCGGGTACTGATGTATCCCTTACATTAGCGGGTACTGATGTAGCTCTTGCATTAGCGGGTACTGATGTAGCCCTTACATTAGCGGGTACTGATGTAGCCCTTACATTAACGGGTACTGATGTAGCCCTTACATTAGCGGGTACTGATGTAGCCCTTACATTAGCGGGTACTGATGTAGCCCTTACATTAGCGGGTACTGATGTAGCCCTTACATTAACGGGTACTGATGTAGCCCTTACATTAGCGGGTACTGATGTAGCCCTTACATTAGCGGGTACTGATGTAGCCCTTACATTAGCGGGTACTGATGTAGCCCTTACATTGGCGGGTACTGATGTATCCCTTACATTAACGGGTACTGATGTATCCCTTACATTAACGGGTACTGATGTCACCAACAGATGCTACAGATTATTGATACATGGGATTATTGTCTCTTTATGAGAAGCATTTTAGTAGGAGAGAGACAGGAAGAATCTTAAATAAATATACAAGTAAATATAAAAGGGGATAATTATCACTACTCCTACTATTATTGCTACTACTACTACTAGCGTTATTACTACTACTACTACTAGCGTTATTACTACTACTATTACTACTACTACTATTATTACTATTGCTACTACTACTATTACTACTGCTACTATTACTACTACTACTATTATTACTTCTATTATTACTATTATTACTACTACTATTACTACTTCTACTATTATTACTACTACTACTATTATTTCTATTACTACTACTACTATTAATACCACTACTAATATTACTATTACTACTACTACTCTTTCTACTACTATTACTACTACTGCTATTAATACTATTACTACTACTACTATTTCTACTACTATTACTACTATTGCTACTACTGTTATTACTATTACTACTATTACTATTACTACTACTACTACGACTGCTGTTTCTACTACTATTACTACTACTACTACTACCACCGCTACTGCTATTACTGCTACTACTACTACTTCCACCATCACCACTTCTACTATTACTACTACCACTACTGCTATTACTACCCGTCTACAGGTGGAGAGTGAACGTGGGCGAGGTCGTCTTGGACTGGGATCGGCGCTGAAGGGCGCCAGAGCTCTGAAGGGAGGTGGCAAGAGGCGCTCAGTTGAGAAGCGTCTCGACAGAGTGATGGATTCCTCGACGGACCAACGTCCCACGCACATATCTCCCAAGGACGAGGCTCCTCTTCCTTCCTCGTCCTCCTTCTCTGCTCCTGTCTCGCGCCAGGAGTCACAGGTAGTTCTGCCGCAGGCGGCACAGGAAGCTTGGCTCACGTGAATTAATTATCCAAAATACATTCGAATCAAACCTACTTTACGTATTCTAAGCTAACCTAAAGTAGCTTCACCTAGTCTTTGCTAACCTTAAATCGTATTGGATGTCGATATTCATTGATGATATTTCGTAAATGGCCTTCATAACATGTTTAAACAAGTGTTGATTGTTCCTTTTCAGGATGAGAACGCCGGGAGAGCGAAGCACCAGGGCAAAGCCAGTAACAAGTTGCGGAGTAGACTCTGTGTCCTCCTGTGACCTGACTCAGGCCAGACCTCCTCTTCCTCCTCCAGCTGGCCTAGCCGCAGCCTGCAGGTGACCTGAGAAACCTGCCCATGCGGTGATGAAGCAAAGATATCCCAGGAGGTGACTTGTGGACCTGGCCACACCTTGGAAGACGATGTGGACCTGGCCACACCTTGGAAGACATTGTGGACCTGGCCATACCTTGGACCTGACTTGTGGTCGCATGATCACTCTGAAACTGGCCTGAGACCCTGGAACTAACAGAAGGGGTACATCAAACACGCCACTCAACTGACCTGTAGACACTAACCACTTCAGCAATTGATCTGTGGCAGTGTAGGGGGCTGTTGAACCAACCTTAAGGGCTTTGGTACTTGCCCTACGGGGATCTAACCAAACCCTAAAACTAATCAAAAAAAAAAAATAAATAAAACACTTGACCAATCTCTTAAAGCGAACCGGAGACACAATGAGGGTAACCTAGCAGTCGTTGCAGCGACGCAGCAGACTTTAAGAACACGACCCACGGGACGACTGAGCTCTCAGACGTGACCTGAAACATTGCTGGCCTCTTCTCCCTTCTTCTAAGACGTGATAGTAGCAATAGAAAGTGATGTAGGAGAGTAAATAGTCTCATCGCGACGAGAGAGGGCGCTAAATGTAGCAACAACAGCAGTCGAATCATTGTATAGGTGTGTATGTGTGTATGTGTTTTTTGTTTCCATTTTTTGTGTTGTTTCGAGTAGCAATACGATTGAATATCCTGCGATGGATTCCCTCAGTGAAGGAGAGGAAGAAGAGAGCGAATCCTTCGGTTCATTATGAAAGTCCGTCCTTAACAAGATTTACTAACCTTAGATGACGGACACTAAACATGGATGGTGGACACTAACCATGGATGGTGGACACTAACCATGGATGGTGGACACTAATCATGGATGGTGGACACTAATCATGGATGGTGGACACTAACCATGGATGGTGGACACTAATCATGGATCGTGGACATTAACCATAGATGATTAACACTAACCATGGATGCTTAACACTAACCATGGATGGTTAACACTAACCATGGATGGTGGACACTAACCACGGATGGTGGACATTAACCATGGATGGTGGACACTAACCATGGATGATTAACACTAACCATGGGTGGTTAGCACTAACCATGGGTGATTAACACTAACCATAGGTGGTTAACACTAACCATGGGTGGTTAACACTAACCATGGGTGGTTAACACTAACCATGGGTGGTTAACACTAACCATAGGTGGTTAACACTAACCATGGGTGGTTAACACTAACCATGGGTGGTTAACACTAACCATGGGTGGTTAACACTAACCATGAATGTTTAACACTAACCATGGGTGGTGGACACTAACCATGGATGGTGGACACTAACCATGGATGGTGGACACTAACCATGGATGGTGGACACTAATCATGGATGGTGGACACTAACCATGGGTGGTGGACACTCACCATGGGTGGTGGACACTAACCATGGGTGGTGGACACTAACCATGGGTGGTGGACACTAACCATGGATGGTGGACACTAACAATGGATGGTGGACACTAACCATGGATGGTGGACACTAACCATGGGTGGTGGACACTAACCATGGATGGTGGACACTAACCATGGGTGGTGGGCACTAACCATGGGTGGTGGGCACTAACCATGGGTGGTGGGCACTAACCATGGGTGGTGGACACTAACCATGGGTGGTGGGCACTAACCATGGGTGGTGGGCACTAACCATGGGTGGTTAACACTAACCATGGATGGTTAACACTAACCATGGGTGGTTAACACTAACCATGGATGGTGGACACTAACCATGGATGGTGGACACTAACCATGGATGGTAGACACTAACCATGAGTGGTGGACACTAACCATGGGTGGTGGACACTAACCATGGATGGTTAACTCTAACCATGGATGGTTAACACTAACCATGGGTGGTGGACACTAACCATGGGTGGTGGACACTAACCATGGATGGTTAACTCTAACCATGGATGGTTAACACTAACCATGGGTGGTGGACACTAACCATGGGTGGTGGACACTAACCATGGATGGTGGACACTAACCATGGAGGGTGGACACTAACCATGGATGGTGGACACTAACCATGGGTGGTGGACACTAACCATGGGTGGTGGACACTAACCATGGATGGTGGACACTAACCATGGATGGTGGACACTAACCATGGATGGTGAACACTAACCATGGATGGTGGACACTAACCATGGATGGTGGACACTAACCATGGATGGTGGACACTAACCATGGGTGGTGGACACTAACCATGGATGGTGGACACAAACCATGGATGGTGGACACTAACCATGGATGGTGGACACTAACCATGGGTGGTGGACACTAACCATGGATGGTGGACACTAACCATGGATGGTGGACACTAACCATGGGTGGTGGACACTAACCATGGATGGTGGACACTAACCATGGATGATGGACACTAACCATGGGTGGTGGACACTAACCATGGATGGTGGACACTAACCATGGATGGTGGACACTAACCATGGGTGGTGGACACTAACCATGGATGGTGGACAATAACCATGGATGGTGGACACTAACCATGGATGGTGGACACTAACCATGGATGGTGGACACTAACCATGGATGGTGGACACTAACCATGGATGGTGGACACTAACCATGGATGGTGGACACTAACCATGGATGGTGGACACTAACCATGGATGGTGGACACTAACCATGGATGGTGGACACTAACCATGGATGGTGGACACTAACCATGGATGGTGGACACTAACCATGGATGGTGGACACTAACCATGGATGGTGGACACTAACCATGGATGGTTAACAAAGTCATTTTGCTTCCTAAAACCTGGATAATACGATAATCAAAATTTCCCAATATGCCTTTGTTGTAACCTGAGCCATAATGAAACTCAACGGCCGTGATAAGTGACTGAGAGGAACTACCAGCATCAGTGTAGTCAGTGGTGGTGACTGAGAGGAACTACCAGCATCAGTGTAGTCAGTGGTGGTGACTGAGAGGAACTACCAGCATCAGTGTAGTCAGTGGTGGTGACTGAGAGTAACTACCAGCATCAGTGTGGTCAGTGGTGGTGACTGAGAGGAACTACCAGCTTCAGTGTAGTCAGTGGTGGTGACTGAGAGGAACTACCAGCATCAGTGTAGTCAGTGGTGGTGACTGAGAGGAACTACCAGCATCAGTGTAGTCAGTGGTGGTGACTGAGAGTAACTACCAGCATCAGTGTATGTCAGTGGTGGTGACTGAGAGGAACTACCAGCATCAGTGTAGTCAGTGGTGGTGACTGAGAGGAACTACCAGCATCAGTGTAGTCAGTGGTGGTGACTGAGAGAAACTACCAGCATCAGTGTAGTCAGTGGTGGTGACTGAGAGGAACTACCAGCATCAGTGTAATCAGTGGTGGTGACTGAGAGGAACTACAAGCATCAGTGTTGTCAGTGGTGGTGATTGAGAGAAACTACCAGCATCAGTGTAATCAGTGATGGTGACTGAGAGGAACTACCAGCATCAGTGTAGTCAGTGGTGGTGACTGAGAGGAACTACCAGCATCAGTGTAGTCAGTGGTGGTGACTGAGAGGAACTACCAGCATCAGTGTAGTCAATGGTGGTGACTGAGAGGAACTACCAGCATCAGTGTAGTCAGTGGTGGTGACTGAGAGGAATCACGAGCTCACACACACACACACACACACACATATATATATATATATATATATATATATTATATATATATATATATAATATATATATATATATATTATATATGAAATATAGGGAGGTACCACCTCTAGAACTGTTATAGGGACCCTCATTCTCAGAGAAAAGAATAAACTTGCTTCAGGGAAAACTCAAGGTTCTCCCTGAAGCTGTTTGAGAATTTTCTCCTGCCACCCCCTATATTTTATGTATATTTTATTTAAAGACAAAATACATTGACAAAACATTCACAAAAATACGATAGAAAGTAAAACAACATAGGTGACTCAGAGCTACATCTCGAATACTTCGTCCAGCTCCCCGGCGGTGGGCCGCGTGCCCATAATGCTGCAGGCATTTCCTCTCTGGATCGCAACACTGAGTCTCTGAAAGAGGAAGCTGGTCGCCCTGTGGTCCTTGGTTTCTATGATGAGCTTTTCACCCAGCTCTATTAGGAACTTTAGAGCACACTTGCCCCATGCTCCAAGGGTCTCCGACCCTGTGGCTGGCAGCTCCACCCCCTTCCACTACGGAGTATGGCAAGTAGGTGTCTGCCAATGTGGCGGACATGTGTAGTCCCAGGCAATTTTGCTTTCCATCCTTCCCAAAGGGAGCATAGTGGCTCCATCAGGACGCTTTTGACTTCCGTCAGACCTCTGCACTTGGGGTTCCCGTTGAGCTGGGCAACGGGCTGTGGCGAGGCTTCTCTTTATGATGTCATTGACCTCCTCATGCCTGGCATACTTCCCTTCTGCTGTGTGACACACGAGACCATGAAGTCCGAATTGATAAGCTGTCGCCCTGCCGCAAATACACCTATGTTTGGTGAGGATGGGGCGGCTAGGCGAAGAGCAACACCAATCCGAATGCCTGTGGGTTTTAGTCGAGTGCCCAAGGAGGAATTGGGAAAACAGCTAACGGGAAATCTCCTGAGTGTGGTCCCTTCACTGCCAGGAGACAGCTTGTCCTTTTCCTGAGGCTTTGGGGAGAGCATTGTGTTGGCTTTTTCCCAAAAGGTTTGCCCCGGGGGACGTTTTTTTATATATATATATATAATATATATATATATATATATATATATATAAAAATATATATATATATAAATATAATTATATAATAAAATATATATATATTAATATATTCCGGGAGATTTTTTTAATAGGAATCAAGGAAGAGAAAGAACACGTTGTTTACTAAAAAAACACATGAAATATTTTCCAGGACACTTTCAGTTTTGTTCGGGTTGTAAGCAAAAATTTCTTATACTTCATAAACATGAGAAAAAATTTCCTACCTTTTCGTCTCATCGAGAGTTAAAAACCACTATACTTTTTCTTTAATTGAATAAAGAGATATTATCAAAAGTTTAGATGAGAAACAAACACCACGAAAAGGGAAGACATCAGAGACAATGAGGTTGAATTCTCGGTCAAAGACATCAGTCAGTCATATAAACACCTGTGAATAATGTACATTTTTATTTTTTATTTTTAGACAACATATATAGCATTTATATATGATATATATATACATATATAATATATATAAAATATATATATATAAAATATATATATATATATATATATATATATATAATATATATATTTTTTTTTTTTTTTTTTTTTTCAACAAGTCGGCCGTCTCCCACCGAGGCAGGGTGACCCAAAAAAGAAAGAAAATCCCCAAAAAGAAAATACTTTCATCATCATTCAACACCTTCACCACACTCGCACATTATCACTGTTTTTGCAGAGGTGCTCAGAATACAACAGTCTAGAAGCATACACATATAAAGATACACAACATATCCCTCCAAACTGCCAATACCCCAAACCCCTCCTTTAAAGTGCAGGCATTGTACTTCCCATTCCAGGACTCAAGTCCGACTATATGAAAATAACCGGTTTCCCTGAATCCCTTCACTAAATATTACCCTGCTCACACTCCAACAGATCGTCAGGTCCCAAGTACCATTCGTCTCCATTCACTCCTATCTAACACGCTCACGCACGCTTGCTGGAAGTCCAAGCCCCTTGCCCACAAAACCTCCTTTACCCCCTCTCTCCAGCCCTTTCGAGGACGACCCCTACCCCGCCTTCCTTCCCCTATAGATTTATATGCTTTCCATGTCATTCTACTTTGATCCATTCTCTCTAAATGACCAAACCACCTCAACAACCCCTCTTCTGCCCTCTGACTAATACTTTTATTAACTCCACACCTTCTCCTAATTTCCACACTCCGAATTCTCTGCATAATATTTACACCACACATTGCCCTTAGACAGGACATCTCCACTGCCTCCAACCGTCCCCCTCGCTGCTGCATTTACCACCCAAGCTTCACACCCATATAAGAGTGTTGGTACTACTATACTTTCATACATTCGCTTCTTTGCCTCCATAGACAACGTTTTTTGACTCCACATATACCTCAACGCACCACTCACCTTTTTTCCCTCATCAATTCTATGATTAACCTCATCCTTCATAAATCCATCCGCCGACACGTCAACTCCCAAGTATCTGAAAACATTCACTTCTTCCATACTCCTCCTCCCCAATTTGATATCCAATTTTTCTTCATCTAAATCATTTGACACCTTCATCACCTTACTCTTTTCTATGTTCACTTTCAACTTTCTACCTTTACACACATTCCCAAACTCATCCACTAACCTTTGCAATTTTTCTTTAGAATCTCCCATAAGCACAGTATCATCAGCAAAAAGTAACTGTGTCAATTCCCATTTTGAATTTGATTCCCCAAAATTTAATCCCACCCCTCTCCCGAACACCCTAGCATTTACTCCTTTTACAACCCCATCTATAAATATATTAAACAACCATGGTGACATTACACATCCCTGTCTAAGACCTACTTTTACCGGGAAGTAGTCTCCCTCTCTTCTACACACCCTAACCTGAGCCTCACTATCCTCATAAAAGCTCTTTACAGCATTTAGTAACTTACCACCTATTCCATATACTTGCAACATCTGCCACATTGCTCCGCTATCCACTCTTTCATATGCCTTTTCTAATCCATAAATGCAATAAAAACTTCCCTACCTTTATCTAAATACTGTTCACATATATGCTTCAATGTAAATACTTGATCTACACATCCCCTACCCACTCTGAAACCTCCTTGCTCATCCACAATCCTACATTCTGTCTTACCTCTAATATATATATATATATATATATAATATATATATATATATATATATATATATATTTCGTGCCGAATAAGCAGAACTTGCGATCTTGGCTTAAATAGCAACGCTCATCTTGCCATATAGGACAAGTGAAAATTTGAGTATGCAATAATTTTG